CCAAGCCACACCCACACCCCCCCCACACCCACACCCACACGCGCACTCACACCCACATCCACACCCACACCCACACACCCACCATACTGTTGAATTTGTTTGATTGACTATATATTTTAGTTCATTTATTACTAATTTTATATTTAATTTTATGTACAACGAATGAAATAATACTTAAATGTCAAGATAAAATCAATTTTTAGGTTTCATCGATCGTGTATCACGATCATTCATTGCGGATAAATATTTGACAGTGGCACGATGAGATTTTCAAAAATATTTTGACTGTCAATGTTATAACGATATTGTAGTAGAGTTGTTGTTACCGATCTATCAGATTCATTCATTCGACAAGTGTTACATTTATTATAGAAAGAAAAAACAAGAAATCTTACAAAAAAAAAGAAAACTTCATTGGTTGAACAATTGAAAACGATATATGACAGTGCTTCTAAATAAATTTCAATAGAGATTTTTCTTATTTTCTATTTTATGAAGTCTAACAAAATGTTTTGAAGTCGATTGTTTCTCATTATGATGAAGCTACTAGCTAGTTATTGTTATCGGTTGAGTCGAAGGTATACTTACTCATGTTTGAACTCGATTGGAAGTAATGGAGAGAAAGTTTCAGTTAAAATAAATATTTCCAATAATAGTGCGACTAGTTTTTATAAATCCAATGAAGAGAATGCTTACTAATGAAATACAACATAAAAACTAAAACAAATGTTCTTTTCTTTGAACACGTCAAAGTTAATTAATAATGTTCAGTGTTTGTTCAGTTTGTTGAGTAAGAGAATCAACCATATTAATACATACTTCTATTTGTTGTGCTTGATGAATACCATCAGTTGATATAAATATAACTCTTATTACATTACTAAAACATTTTACAGCTTGATAATAATCATATCTATATATTAAATATTTCCATGCTAATTCTACATATATATCTTGAATATTTAATATTTGTTTTACATTTATTAAATTAATTGAAGTAGATTGTGCTTTAGATATATAATTAATTGTTGAAAAAACAATAATTGAAAGTATTAATTTAATAAATGTGTTATCACGATCAAGTTGATTTGTAATTTGTTTTGCTATATTTAATAAATTTGATTAAAATATCATTTCAAAGAGTTGTAAAAAAGCTGGATTATCAAGTAATCAAGAACGACTCAATGTAAATGATACACTTATATCTGCAACATGTTTTAATGTTGAATTAATTAATACAGTTTGGTCATAAGTAGTTAATGAAAGAAAATTCGAGTTTGATTGAAGACATATTTGAGCTTGACTCATTAATGATAGAACTATTTCACTTACTGATTCAACTTTAAATCTTAATTTAATCGGTAAAGTATTTTGTTGACGTATAAAAAGGTTCACCAATGGATATTGCACTACGTTCATCATAACAATGAATTATATTTGATAAAAGATTGCATTCATGTTTGCTCAATGTTGATTGATCTGATTTCACTAAATTTAATGTTGGAAACTAAATCAAAAGAAAAGAATTCATTAAAAAACAAAAAAGATTTTTCATAAGAAAATTCTTTTTCTTAGGGTGTGGGTATGTTCTTTCTCGACAGCCACACCCACACTCCACACCTGCATCCACATCCACACCTTCAGAACGGTGAATTGAAATTAGAGAATTCATGCCAATATGTCACAATTGATTTGACATCAATGAAGATCGAGATTGTTGTCAGAATAATCATGATTCGATCTTCATCGAGATAGACGAGGTTGAATTGAGAAACTAAAGTAAAAATAGAGTTTTGAACGAATATTTTGATCCGATAGTTGAATTGATTGATATCTCAATGAGAAATCGATCCGGAAATTAAAGATATTCTTGAAGAACAGAACAACTCAACGCTTTTACTGCCCGTGAATTGTGTCCAGAAAACATCAACAAGAAAAATCACATGGAAATCGATCAAAATTATTGATCTTCTGTCTTTGTTTATCGAGAGATTCAACGGAAAATTTAGAATCCACAGAAGAAATTTCTCAATGTAATTCTTTCTTTGTCTTGTTCTCTATCGTTCACCGCCAGAAGATTTTTTTGTCTGCATTCTATAGAAACTTTCCTTTTTTTCATTTCAGTTTATTTTGTTATTATAAGGCGAATCGTGAACAACATCGACAAATATCGAATATTAATGGAAAAGATCACGATTTACATAAGTTTTACGTTTGCGAGGTCTCATACAAGTTCATCATTGTTATTGGCTTTCAGACCGTGCCTGCATGACTAGAGAGCATGTGTTGTAATAATAGGTGCAACTACATTATTCGGAGTCCTATGGCAGCAGAACAGTTTGCCAATATAAGGCTGGGTTTTAAATACTTCAAAGTAGACCTGAGATGGTAAAATGAAGAGCAAGAAAGTAGCTCTTTGAATTAGATAAATAATCAAATTGACACTGATGTTCCATCTTAACAACTACAGGGTGTCCGGAAAGTCATTGACCAAAAGTTTTTTCGTTTATCTTTACTATTTCATTTAACTTTTTCAATAAATTTTTTTTTAAATTATAGGTGAATATACCAAGTTTTTATTTA